GGACAAAAATCGAAACTTCGTGTAAATGAAAAAATACGTTTTTATAAAGGATTTCTGAGGTCGCTGAATTTGAATTTGATTTAAAAAATGTCCATTGAATATCCACTCTCGGTACTACCAGGATCAATGACGTGGACGTGGCGAGGATTTGATTCTTTTGAGTCTATGTGTGTGTGTACGCATGTGTATGTGTGTATGTATATAGTTTGTTCTTGAATAACTAAAAAGAATTTGCTGTAGAAGTGTGCGAATCAAGAATTTTTATATCGAATCGAATCGAATCTCATTTTTTAAATCCGAATTCGAATCGAATCGAATCGAATGAAATCGAATCGAATCATGAGTATTAAACATGCAAATAATGATGAAAGATTTTAATATAAACGGGAATATTGATATTGTAATATCATCTTAAAGTAAAATATATATTTAAATATTTAAAGTAATTTATAATTAAATTATTAATTATAAGTTAAGTTAATTATAAGTTAAGGGTTTAAACATATAGAACCAGATGGCCCGTTTTGTAGCTAATGCGCGCAAACGCTAATGTACTTGATTCGTATTTGAATTTTCGCGATTCGAAATTTTCGAATTATTCGGATTCGAATCATAGGGATTCGGATTCGAATTGAATCGAATTACATTAGATTCGATATGATTAGATTCGAATTCGAATAGTTCGCATATCTCTAATTTGCTGTAAATTCGTCAGGATCTGGTAGTTCTGGCCATATTCAGTAGTTGGCGTTGCCTCTCTTCGTCGCTCTTGAAATCCTGAAAATTTAAACTCGTCTCAAAGGGAATTGACTTTTATGAAGTATCGGATAAATAGAAAAACAAGGTTTTTTAATAATAAAGCGAAATCTTTTATTTGCTGAAAAACGTTAATAATTTTATTTGCCGAGCCGCTCATTTTATATACCATGCCGCTTTCTTAATTATAACTAACAAAATGCACATTATCGCCAAATTGAAGGATGTTGAATATTCCAAATATATTACAAGAAAAATGATAAATGTCCTTTTCATTATGTTTCACATTAAAAGACCAAAATTTTTTTCAAAATATGAACACATAAGTTATAACTTTATGTATTAAGAATACTTCGTTATATTGAAAATATTGTTAAATGTTAATCTCACGACATTTAATTATCAAATACACACATATATATTCTATATAAGATACCATGTAAGAGTTACAGAATTTGAGTTTTGATCTACGTTGACAATACTAAATGAAAAGAAGAACATCATGGAAGACGTTATGCTTACACAAAGTATTACTTTAACCCTTTTAGTGCCAACGACGATATATCATTGCGCGTGCGATGGCGCCTTACTATTCGTATCGTGAGAGAACTCTGTTTTAAAATAAATTTATAAAACATTATAAATGGTTGAATTTCTCTTCAGAAGTCCTGTGTGAGATGTTCTACGAATTGAAAAAATTGTTTATGGGCTTAACTTTCTGTTATATTCCGCGATGCTCCTGATGCTTGCTGCGCATCATGGGACTATCATTTAGTTTTGTGTTTTGATATTAGTAATCTTGTTACAAATAATTGAAGATGCAGTATTTATGCTTTATACTGTGTTCTACACTCAACTATGACCAAACGACGATTCTTCTTAGTTGCAAATACTGTTTATAAGAAATAACTGATTTTTCCATTTTCCTAATGATTTTGAATAAACATTATTAGTACGATTTCCAACAAATATTGAAATACATTTGGCATTAATTTATTCTCCCTTTATTTCGTAATATGTTCCTTTTGAATTTGGTAAATATTATTCTTACTTTTATGTTTATACTTTTTTTCTCAAACCTTACTAAATTATATCAACTTGGTTCGGTATTTTTCGCTTAGGCACAATTCTTTCGTTCGGCACTAAAAGGGTTAAGAAGTAAAGAAAACAAAAATATATCGCAAAACAAATTTGGAAATAAGTGCAAAAATAGATTTTTCTCCAGCACTTGGCCCACTATGCGATTATGTAACGTGCTCGTTTCGGTAAAATACAACGGGAGCGCGAGCAAGTGAGAGACGACGCATCGGTAGGAATCTTGAGCGTGCACACGATACTCGCGGTGCGGGCGATAATTATACGATACCCGAAGCTAAATCGCACACGCGCAGTATGCAAAAACCCAGCGTCGCGAGTGCATCCGTTAGGTCGTCGCGTATCGACGCTCTGCTCGCTTCTTCAATTTCTAATGTAATCTAAGCGCGTCCGGGCACTCCCCGCGCTGAAATGTTCAACCACGTTATATAATATTCACAAAGTAGTGTTAGCCGTAATTTTCTGCTCCACCGCGATGCTTCCGTAACGGCCGCATCTTAGCTAATGCATGCAATTTCCCGTACCGCGTGTGGCGTCGGTGTGGAGTTGTAAAATACGCCGATACGACGGGGTGACACGGCTCGCGAAATAACCGTGCGAGCGTGCGCGAAATTAAAAGTAACTTGTCGCCGAAATAATTGCTCGTTGTGCGTTTCGTTACTTTAATAGCGCCGCGGAAGTAACGGGCGACAGCGAGCTGCCGTAATGGAGACGGTTAAAAGCGCGACAATATTCCTCAGAGCATTTCTTAATTAACCGGGATCATTTTTGAACGGGGAACGAACGAACCTTTGCCGCGTGTTCTCGGGACGCGCGTTATTTCGCATCTTGCGCACCAGAGCGAGAGGCTCTGTTGTTGCTGTTTTGCGTTTTCACGCTATTTCGAATTTGCATAATTATGATTTGCATAAAGTACCAGCGGGCAGCGCGTCTGCGGGGTACGAAGACTGCGTAAAGCTACGCGTGTATTCGCACGCGCAAAGTAAATAATATCTGACAAGTAGCGTGTGGGGTTCACGATATACTCCGCTGAACGCTAATGAGTTAACAATCGCGACAAATTTTTCTCCGTCCTGGCGCGCTGTGGAAAACGTAAACGCTGGAAACGTAAGTGCCCGTGCGTGCCTTCTTCTAATCCACGAAAATGGCGGTTCGCCACTTCCTCGCAGCAAAATCAGCAACTAAAATCGTGTGATATAGTACACAGTGTCCCGAAAGTCACCGTGCGTTTTATCGAAGTACGCTAGACACCTCACTAATGCGTTTTTCGTAGTGTCGTTTCGCTTCACACAAAATCACATCAGCATTGTAAGCGCGAAGTGAGGCGTGAGATTTTCACGAATGCTTTCAACGTATGCACTTTACATTGACATTCCCTGGTATCTCGGAACTGCGTCGCGGAACGCAACTTTTGTAATTTAAACTGCGAATTTTGCTGACGAAACGCAGTAAATATTATTTTTCGACAATGCTACATTTCGACTCCTTGTCTACACCTACATTTCTGTGTGATATCACTTTATTAACCAATGTTTACGGAAATAGAAATAAAACAACGCAAGAATATTCGATATGAGACGAATATTGATACTATATGCTCATTCCTCGTTCTAATACCGGCAGCAGGCTTGTGACCTTTTTATACGATAGCTAACAATATAATGCGCATACGTCGGATATTCGATTCCAAGGAACGACATATTATAGAGGAGGCCTAAAAATGGTGATGAATGTGTTACGAGAAATTTCAGAGCATTGAATGAAAAGGAGTGTTCTGTATATTTAACAAATTTCATATATATGCAACTTTTATCATAAACACGCGGAATTAATAAATATAACAAGAATATATTAAAATGTAGATTTATTGAAATCTCAGCCTAAAACACGATATGAAAATCCGCAGCAAGATGATTACCTTTAGAAACACGATGCAAAAAGAAAGAAAGAGATGTCATGGTTGAAAACTTGAAAATTATTAGATATAAATTTTCTTTCTATCTAATAAACATCATTACAAATCTGATAAGCCAATAGTAATATTAAAACAAACTCTTAATTTTCCATTCAATAAAGTGTCACGTTATATATTTTTACTCAATGGTAATATAACATGTTGCAATATTAATGTAACGTTTCTGTTAAACTACCATTTGATATCAGTATGCATAATTATATATATCCATAACTGGTAGAATGCTGTTATATAAATACGATGAAAACAAATATGCGCCACCTTTTGTGGAAATTCTTTATTATAATTTTATAAATCTATGCTATCTTTTTTAACAAAATTAATTTTTCTAGATATATGTAATTATATACGGTTAAATTAATACTATTATATCTAAGACTGAATGGGGACCCACATTTTTCATTGCAGAATTAGATTGTACGTGAAATTTTTATTGAAACAATTTTTTTCATTCGTGATAGATAGCATTGCACTGCCTTTTATAATAAGCCATAGTTCGCCATACACCCACAGTGGCGCGTCGAGCAGTTCTCTCTTCGATTCGGGTTCCAATTTGAGATTTGAACGTTACCACCCACCCTACCCCGAGAGGATGGGGGGGGGAATAACTTTTATTATGTTCTTTAAAAATATTGAACAGGTATTTTTTATTTCTCAATCCAATGATCATTTCTGGAGAATTGCGGAAAATATAATTTTTTGCGATTACAGTGCCATCTATCACGAATAAAAAAAAAAGTTTCGGACAAAATTTACGTAATTTGTGGCGTAGAATCCGTATCTGCAATAAAAAATGGGGGCTTCTATTTAAGATTTCAAAGTTGCCCCCAACCCTCACCCCCAGGGGGTGGGGTGGGAGGTCGAGTTTGGTATCATTGGATGTCCCCCTTCGAGACTAACAATTTTCATGAACCACTCTTTTTTATCCAATGCATAGTTCTCGAGATATTTCAATGTCTTCAGATAAATCGTGCACCCTGTATATTGTTAAATGCAATGTTATAATATTGATGTAATATCACTATTATAATTTGTATTTACTGAATATGTACGGAGTATGTAAATATCAACATGTACAAGTATTTTATATTACTTTAAAAATATCACACGTATAATATAATATTTTTCTATCTTATTATATAAAACTCAAATTTTTATGATACATTCGCCATGTAAGCAGAATATATGTTTATAACATCATACGTCACGTTTACATTCGTTATATAATCATTCTCGAATTCTTCCCTATGTACCGGTCTTAACATTCCTCAGAGCAAATTGGGTGCGAGCATGTGTGTGCATGTATGCGGGTATACACAGATATACGCGCGAGCGCGCGTATGTAAGAATATATAGAAGATATAGAATTAGTGCAAATAGATGTCCAGGAATAAAAATACAATTTAAAAAAGGTTAAAAATATAATTTTAGAAAAAGATACGACAAGGGATATTTACTATACACGGATATTGTGTGTATGTGTTCGTTTAATATATATATGATTGAGCATATATGTTGATCATATTGTATCTACTTATTCCGTTCCTGCTCCTGTTTGAATTTCTTCTAGCAGCCATTCTTATTACACACATGGTCGTAATTGCCAATGTGTTTTCATACAACGTCACGTATCAAGTGTTGTTTAATTTAGTTAGATATGTAATTGCAATCGTTGCAGATGCATGTGCGATATCCTTTGATCTTCTCAGAGATGATGTGTCAACTCTCTCTTCCTATCGAAACCTGGGTTGCAAATTTTGCACTGCTGAGGCACATTTACGCGCTTTTCAATGCTGCTCCCTCTTTTGGAATGTTTGCCGCATGGGTCGTTCTCGAAAGACTTCCACGGGTTCGCACTTTTGTTTTTCTTCTGATTGACAGGACGATTGTATGTGTGTCTTCAGATCCGTCTACTATTTATACTTCATGTTACAGACAGGCTCAGTACACTTTTAGTCATAATTGTCCGTGTGATTTCGTACATTGTGTCTTCGCAAGTTATTGTCTTTGTTAAATACGTAGTTAACCATAGCGGCAGTTGCAGATGGATTGTTTGTAAAGATCTATGAGGTATTTTTTCCACTTTTGCTTAGAAAGAGTCATTCCGTTGCAGATTTTGCATTTCTGAGGTATATTTAGGGGCTTCTCAATGCTGGGGCTTCTTCCGAAATGTTTGCCGTACAGGTCACTCTCTGAGGACAGCCTTGGGTCCTCAATACTGCTTTTCTTTTATTTGTCAGAGTGAACGCATCGTACGTATTGTCTTAGTTACTCCTAATCTTTTCTCACCCAGTTACAGCCAGTCTCACTACATACTTAATTTTTATTATTCATGTGCTTTATTATAAAATGCCTTTGCATGTCTCGCAGTACGTTCGTTTCGTAATTGCATGTTTTCTCTTCACATATGTACACGGAATGGTGGTGAACCGTCATTGAGTGATCTATTAACATATGTTTATTACGGAAAATTAGACCACAGATTCTGCAATGTCTAGAAACTTTGTGCTTTTCATTTTTCGTTCTGCTGAAAAGTTTGCCGTATAGATTACTCACTGAGGACGGTCCCGGTTCCATAGTATTGCTTTCCTTCTTATTTTTATGGTTATATGTCATGTGAATCATCAAAGTATACTTATCTTTATACATCTTGTTACAGCCGGGCTTAGTACACTTGTAGCTGCGGTTCCTCGGTTTTTCTTTATGTGTGCTTCCTCGTGTCTTTTTAAGTTTGCCTTATATTTGGTTTTGTAGTTGCAATATTTACATTTGTAGAAGTGATATTTGTGGTCCTTCTCGTAGTGATCATACAACTCATGTATTTCGCGAAAGTATTGTTTGCAAATTTTGCATTGTTTCGGAATTTTGAAGTACTTTTTAGTGCTGCTCTCCTTGGTGGAATGTTTGCCGCACAAATTACTCTTCAAGTACGGTCCTGGCTGCATAATATTGGTTCTTTCTTGTTTGTTAGGTTGAAGACGTTGTATGCGGCTCTTCAGTGGCATATCATCCTGCAAATTATAAACAAAGTTATAGCCTTACTAAGGACACGTGTAAACGTTCTTGCGCTTTCATATAATGTAATTTTACAAGATTACCAAATCGCTGCTTTGGTAGTTGCAATTGCTCCATTTATATGTATTATTAAGTCTAGAGATCTCGTCGATATCTGTCATATCCATCTTCAGACAGAAGTTTTGTTTGCAGATATTACGTCGATAAAATACACTTATACTTTTCAATGTTTCTTCCTTTTTCTAACGTTTGTCGCACGGATCGCCTTCTAAAGACTGTTCCGGTTTCTCTTTATCGATTCACTATTAATTGACATTCTGTTCTTTTCAATTTGCTTGGTGCAATAATTTGTCTGCGTAACCGCAAAACTTTATTTCTTTTCTTCGACTAATTGCTGATATCTGAAAGAGACACGTTTCGATATGTATTCTGTGTGTTCGACGAGCGACTGTTTGAAATTATTGGTACTCACATGATATCGACAATATCCGAAAGCGAGATATATCAGGCAAACAGAAAAGGTCACGTCAAGACGACTGTGAATAGAGTTTGAACACTTTCTTCATGAAGAAGACACGTAAAGTAATCGTTGCGAGGCCCAATCACGTACTTATGCGCGGTGATCGGTTATGATAAGAATCAAAGTACGTCATAGTTGTCGAGCGCTTTCTGGTAGCAGAACCATCGAAGACCAATCTGTTCGAAAAAACGAACTGTTTACATTGCTTAGATAGGCAGAATATTCAAAAGGAATATAACTCATTTATGTATTGTTATTTTATATTTATTGTTATATATTTTAGTATTGGATAATTATATAAGTTCGTGTTCGATTTAAAAATACACTTCATTTGGTTATATTTTAAAGAATGTAATTTTATTAATCAATTATATAGTCTCCATTCTTTTCTACAGTTGTTTTCCAACGATTTACAAGCTTGTTGATTCCATTTTTGAAGAAGTGATTGCCGAAGCTAACGCCTATTTTGAAACCAAAGATCGTTCTACACGGCTGGCATAGAAAAGTTAGGAAAGCGTAGGAATGAATGTATCGCTCTTGAAGGAAACTATGTTGATGAATAAAGAAGAATTTTGGCAAACAAATGTTGTTTTAGTAGTTAGTCCAGGGACTTATTGATCGATGTGTTATGTAAATATCCACGTTTACAAACATTTCATCTTATTTTAAAATCATCACTTGTACAATATAAAAATTTGTCTATCTTCTTACATAAAAATAAAATTTTAATATTACTCACGCTTCAGCTCGTCACGTAAACAAAATATACACAATTCGTTATATAGTCATCCGTCAATTTTTTCCTATGAACTGTCTTATTATTTCTCACAGTAAATTGGGGGCGAGCATTTATGTGCACGCATGCGTATATATCCATATACACACACGCGTTAGCGTATATAAGAATATATAGAAGATATAAAATTATTGCGAATACATGTTCAGGGATAAAACTACCATTTAAAAGGAGCTAGAAACATATTTCTATAAAAAGATTTGCTTTGGGATATTTACTACATGCAGACATTGTGTGTGTGTGTGTTTGTGTGCGCATTTAAGCGTATATATGGTTCAGAGCGTATGTTGAGCGTGTATATGTGGGTATAAACAAACTGTTCCCTCGCGTTCTTTGTATACTTTCTCCACTCGACTCGACAGCTTGTTTGTCTTTTGCTTTTTTAGAAATTTTGCAAAAATGCTCTCGATATCTGTTCATTTTATTCGAGTGGAACCGGATCAGAATGTCTCTCCTCCATATAACTGTGTAAAAACTGCCGCTGGATGAATACCGTGCTGTAAACTTCGCAGATGTAGAGTTATCCAAGTATATACGTATACAGTGCTCCAGTATAATTCTTCTGCTATTATACATCTTATTGCGGACAGGACACACAATTGTCGTTTCAGCATATATCTGTAAATGATGAAATAAACTTTACTTACAAGGAAAGGGTTCTTCACGGATTTTGATGGGCTTTGAATATGTTGTAGAGCAACAAGAAATTAGACACGTATTTTTTATCTCAAGATTCAGAAGATGAAACAACCCCTAAAAGAAACTAACATTTTAATTTTTTGCGAATAACTTCTAAAGTACGAGGTATATGAAAAAATATTTCCTATAAAAGTTTTACAGTACTTTATACTATTTGCAACGGTATATTCGGATTTTTCAAGTGTCAAAATTTTCTACCTCCAGTCCCTATCTTTTTAATTTTGCAAAATTAAAAAATTTCATGAGGACAAAATTTAAGGAGCATTTGATGCCGAATCTATCCATATATAATAATACAATATGGTCATGATTAATTTTCAGAAAAACGAGACGATATCATTGTATTATGGGCGCCGCGCTGTAAATAGGTGTGGTATTATTCCTTTCAGTTGCACTGTACTCAATAACTGTCTCTTATGCATATTTCCTCATACATACAATATTGTTGCGCTCACTCTCACACTCGCGCTTGCACTCAAGTAAATGAAAACATTCGCGTAACAAATATGAAGTACTTTACTATTCACAGCACAGCTCACTCAAGCTTTTTACAGGAATAATTCTCTGATCTAATTCTCGCATCTGTCCTCGATGACTGCTTGCCGGCAACTCTCTGTCAGCTGTTGCTGTTTTCTTCTTATCGATTTTCCGTCGTCCAGACAATCTTCGTTCAGTTGTCAAAATCAGCATCAGATGCCTAAGGCTCGCGAACAACGGACGTTGCCACAAACTTTGTGGCTCGGACACAATATGCAAGAAAATTAATTTTAATGATACAATATGCAACTTATTACACGAAATAAAAAGATTAGATAGAAGAACGTGCATATACAGGGTGGAACATTTAAGTTCATAATGCAAAATATTTCAAAAACGAAACGTTAGAGAAAGAAATGTTTTAAATAAAAGTTGTATGGATTAAAGGGGAAGCTACAATGGTGTCCTTGGTCCAATGGTTTGACTTTGAAACATATATTTTAGGTCAGTTAAAGGTCAATTTAATTTTTTTAAGTAGAAAGCCCAATTTTTTATTATTTTTTCTTTTTCTACTAATTAATTTCAATAACTTTTATTTGAAACATTTTTTTACTTGCCTAATATTTTTTTAGATATTTAGGGAAAACTTGATAACTTGAAAACTTGAAACTTTAAGATTCACCGATAAAAAATACATGTGTACTAGTTTTTATTATTCTAAAATATATTCAAAGCCCGTCAAAATTGGTCAAAACAGTTCCGACTCTTTCTTTATTAGTATAGCCTTGCCACAAATTGAATTTCTAGATTTCTCCGCACATTCCTGTGCTTTCCGCGCTTTAAAAAACTAGAGTTTACTTGAACATATTTTCGGTACTAGTAGGTGTCTTTGGAAAGGTCATATTTTACCTGTTTCTCCAGTTCTTGCTCGAGTTTGAATTTCTTGTAGCAGCCTTCCTTGTTACGCACGTAGTAGTAATTGTCCATGTGCTTTGATGCAACGTGATATTTCAAATGTTCTTTCTCGTTAGATATGTAATTGCAATCGTTGCAGTTGAATATGCGATGTCCGTGATCCTTTTAGAGATGGTGTTTCAACTCTCTCTTTCTAGCGAAACATTAGTTGCAGATTTTGCACTATTGAGGCATACTTACGCGATTTTCAATGCTGCTCTCTGTTTTGAAATGTTTGCCCCACGGATTGCTTTCAGAAGACTGCCTCGTGTCCGCACTTTTGCTTTTCTTCTGGTTGATAGGACGTTGTATATATGTCTCTTCAGATCCGCCTATTATTTATACATTCTGTTATAGACAGGCTCAGTACACATTTAGTCATAATTGTCCGTGTGATTTCGTACAATATGTCTTCGCAAGTTATTCTATTTGTTAAATACGTAATTAACCATGGCTGCAGTTGCATTTGGGTTGTTTGTAGAGAGCTAGGAGGTATTTTTTCCACTTTTGCTTAGAAACAGAGATTCCGTTGCAGGTTTTGCATTTCTGAGGCATACTTATGGGCTCTTCAATGCTGGGGCTTCTTCTGAAATGTTTGCCATACAGGTCGCTCTCTGAGGACGGCCTTGAGTCCTCAATATTGCTTTTCTTTTCTTCGTCAGAGTGAACGCGTCGTACGTATTGTATTAGCTACTCCTGATCTTTTCTCACCCAGTTACAGCCAGTCTCACTATATACTTAGTTTTTATTATCCATGTGCTGTCTTATAAAGTGCCTTCGCATGCTGTACAGTTTGTTGGTTTCATAATTGCATGTTTCTTTTTCACATATGTGCACGTAACGTTGGTGAACATTCATTGAGTGATCTATCAACATATGCTTATTATGGAAAATTTGACCACAGATTCTGCATTGTCTAGAAACTTTGTACGTTTCAATTTTCCTTGTGCTGAGAAGTTCGCCGTATGGATTATTTTCTGAGGACGGTCCCGGCTCTGCATTACTGCTTTCCTTCTTATTCTTATGGTGACAAGTCATTATATGATACTCCAAACTATAAATATTCTTATAATTCTTGTTACAACCGGGTTCAGTACACACGTAGTCGCTACTGATCGGACGTTTTCTTATGTGTGTTTTCTCGTGTCTTTTTAAGTCGCTTTTACGGTTGGTTTCGTAGTTGCAATATTTACATCTATGGATGCAACGTTGGTGGATCTTCTCGTAGTGATCTATCAACTCAGGTTTTTTGCGAAAGATTTGTTTGCAATTGTCGCATTGTTTTGGAATTTTGTTGTATTTGTTAATGTTGCTCCCCTTGGTGGGAGGTTCACCGCACGGATCACTCTCGGAAGACGGTCCTGGCTGCATAACATTGCTTCCTTCTTGTTGGTTAAATTGAAGATATCGTAGTTGGCCCATCACATCTTCCTGCAAATTATATACAAAGTTACAGCCTTACCAAGGACATGTGGAAATGTCCTTGCGCTTTCGTATAACGTAATTTTGCAAGATACCATATCGCTGCTTTCATAGTTGTAACTGCTGGATGTATTTGTGCCACGTTCGACCTTGCCGAGATGTCGCTCTGTCATATCTATTTTCAGACAGAAGTTCTGTTTGCAGATATTACGTCGATAAAATACACTTATGCACTTTTCAATGCTGCTCCCTTTTTTAACGTTTGTCGCCTTGTGAGTGTCCCGTTTTCTCTCTGTCCATTCTCTCCCAATTGAGATTCTGATCTTTTTCAATTTGCTTGCCGCAATAGTTTGCCCGCGTAACCGCACAGCTTTATTTTTCTTCGTGGTTCGACTAATTACTGATACCTGAAAGAACTGATAACTAGCAAGTTTTGATGTGTACTCTATATGTTCGACGGACGACTGTTTGAAATTATTGGTACTTACTTGATATCGACAATATTCGAAAGCGAGATATATCAAGCAAACAGTAAAGGTCACGTCAAGACGACTGCGAATAGAGTTTGAACACTTTCTTCATGGAATGGAGGGAAACACATGAAGTAACCGTCGCGAGTTCCAATCACGTACTTACACGCGGTGGTCGGTTATAATAAGACTCACATTTATACGCGATTATCGAATATGCGTTCTTTGGGCACAGAACCATCGGAGAATAATTTGCGAAACGAGTTGTTTACATTCAGGTAGGTGGAAATATTCAAAAAGAATATAACTCTTTGATATATTCTTATTTGACCTCTGGTTCGGACAGTAACGACAAGCATGCTCATATCATAAGTGAGTTTAGACTCTACGTACCGCTCGGATATAAAATCTCATAAACACCGACACAGATTTTTTATCCGCTATTCATTGCGCAAAGGATTACGGATTTAACGATATGTGTCATAGATCAAATCAAGTGATAGATCGATTTTTGCGGAGAAAAACGTTTAACACACTGTTGAGTTTTTGCGAGAATTACAAACAGTACATAAATGATATCCCTGCCTTATAAACACCAGTAACAAACCTAATACATCAACCGTTATATTAAGCTTCTGATATTCCTAATTTTCCAATAAATTATAGGTCTTAATTTTTCAATAAATTATAAAAATCTAATACCATGTTATATATTCTTACTCAATAACAAATATATACGTTGCAATAACAATTAGATTATTGAATGAGCAGATGCAACATTAATGTAAAGTGCCCGACAGTTCATGTTACTCGACCACTTAGTATAAGTGTACACAATTATATACGTACATATATCCCTAACGGAGAAAAAACTTGTTTCACAAATACGATGGAAGTAAAAATGTGTTTACTTCTCTAGAAATTCTCTAGAAATTCCATATAATAATTAAATAAATTTATCTTTTTTCTTTTACAGAATTAATTTTCCAAAACGATATACGTAATTATATAGGTCCAATCTATTATTACATCTAAGACTAAATGTATAATGAAATAGACGCATCAGTTATATGCAATTAGGGCACTAAAGTATCGAATTATAGTAACATTATATGAATAAGGTAATATATAAGTCACTAATAAAATAATTTAACATAATATAATATAATAGTAAAAAACGCATAATATATCTGCATATTCTTATATATATCACGCTATTATTATATCACGCCATGTTTACCAGCAATATTAAATTGATAATATTATTGAGTAACAGTATATATAATGCAAACGTACATATAAAAGTCAATATGCATATTACCAAAAAATATATATATTACATATATATTTTTTTTGATTATATCGTAGTCAAAGAACAAACTAGTACAGTAAAATTATATCAATGTCACAATTTCTTGATAAATGATGTAACTATAATTTGCAAGATGTATTATATTACATTTGCATTCTTTTATATTGTTACATCGTTAAATGCAATCATCATTGATGTAATATTACTGTTATAATTTATGTTTAGTGGAATATGCAAATATACACGTTTACGAACATTTTATCTTACTTTGAAAACATCACTCGTACAATACAAAATTTGTCTATCTTATTACGTAAAAATAAAATTTTTATATTATGATCAGCTGGTCATCTAAGCAAAATATACACAACATTCATCATATAGTCCGCCAATTCTTCCTTATGTACTACCTCATTATTTCACACAGCAAATTGGGGGGGAGCATTTATGTACATGCATGCGTATATATTCACACACACTATATATAAGAATATATAGAAGATATAGAATTATTGCGAATACATGTCTAGGGATAAAACTACCATTTAAAAGGTGCTAAAAACATATTTGAACAAAAAGATTTGCTTTGGGATATTTACTACGCGCGAAAATTGTGTGCGGGTGTGTATATGTTTGTGTGGGGGTTTAAGCGTATGTGTGGTTTAGAGCATATGTTGAATATGTGTATGTGTGTATGTGGGTATGAACAAATCGAGCACAAACTGTTTCCTAGCGTTCTTTGTATACTTTATCTACTTGACTCGACAGCTTGTTTGTCTCTTGCTTTTTTAGAAATTTTGCAAAAATGTTCCCAGTATTTGCTCATTTATTCGATTGGAACCAGATCAGAATGTCTGTTCTCCATAACTACGTAAAGACTGCCACCAGATGAATCCCGTGTTGTAGACTTTGCAGATGTAGGCTTTTTCTACCGTAGTATAACTTATCCATGTATATACGTATACAGTGCTCCAGTATAGTTCTTCTGCTGTTATACATCTTATTGCAAACAGGACAAACAATTCGTCGTCTCAGCATATATCTGTAAATGATGAAATAAACTTTATTTACAAGGAAGATGACGGAACTGTCCCTCACCGATTTTGATGGGCTTCAAATATGTCAAAGAGCAGCAGCATATTAGACACGTATTTTTTTATTGGCGTATCTTAAGGTTTAGAGGGTGAAACAACCCCTAAAAAAACTAACATTTCATTTTTTTTGCGAATATCTTCTAAAATACGAGGTATATGAAAAAATATTTCCTATAAAAGTTTTACAGTACTTTATACTTTATACTATTTCAACGGTATATTCAGATTTTTCAAACGTGTGAAAATTTTCAACCTCCCGCCCCTATCTTAATTTTGCAAAATTAAAAAATTTCATAAAGTCAAAAATTAAAGAGCATTCGATGCCGACTCCATCCATGTATAGTAATACAATATGGTCATGATTAATTTTTAGAAAACCGAGATGATATCATCGTGCTATAGGCGCTGCGCTGTAGGTAGATGTGATGTTATTTCTTTTCAGTTGTGCTGTACTCAATAACTGTCTCTTATATTTCCTCATACATACAATATGCAAAAGAATTAATTTTAATGATACAATATGCAACTTATTACATGAAATCAAAATATTAGATAGATGAACGTGCGTATACAGGTATGGACAATTTAAGTTCATAATGCAAAATATCTTAAAAACAAAACGTTGGAGAAAGAAATGTTTTAAATAAAAGTTATATGGTTTAAAAAGGGGGACATACAATGATGTCCTCAGTTTGACTTTGAAACGTGTATTTAGGTCAATTAAAGGTCAACTTAATTTTTTTAAATAGAAAGCCTAATCTTTTATTATATCTTCTTTTTCTACCAATTAATTTTAACAACTTTTGTCTGTAACATTTTTTTATTTGCCTAATATTTTTTAAGATATTTAGGGAAAACTTGATAACTTTTTCAACATTTTTTAACTTACGATATCTCGCTAATCATTTTTCGAAGGAAAAAATGGAGAAAAATTAGACTTTTTTATTTTATTTTATCTCAAGAATATATTGTTACAATAGTGCCTTTACTTTTGTTAATTTATCGATCTTTGGAAATTTCAAAATCATCAAATTAAGTGCAAATAGTATAAAATACTGTAAAACTTTTGTGCGGCACATTTTTTCATATACCTCGCATTTTACAAGATATTCGCAAAAAATTAAAATATTGGTTTTTTTTAGGGGTTGTTTCACGCACACTTCTAAAGTTTGAAATTCGCCGGTAAAAAGAATACATGTGTAATAGTTCTCATTGCTCTGCAATATATTCAAAGCCCGTCAAAATCCGTGAGGAACAATTCCGACCCTTTCTTTGTTAGTATAGCCTTGCCACAAATTGAATCTCTGGATTTCTCCGCACGTTCCTGTGCTTTCCGCGCTTTAAAAAATTAGAGTTTACTTGAGTATATTTTCGGTACTAGTAGGTGTTTTTGGAAAGGTCATATTTTACCTCTTTCTTCAGTTCCTCCTCGAGTTTGAATTTCTTGTAGCAGCTTTCCTCCTCACGCACGTAGTCATAATTGTCCATGTGCTTTCATGCAACGTGATATTTCAAATGCTTATTCTCGTTAGATATGTAATTGCAATCGTTGCAGTTGAACATGCGATGTCCGTGATCCTTTTAGAGATGGTGTTTCAACTCTCTCTTTCTAGCGAAACATTAGTTGCAGATTTTGCACTGTTGAGGCACATTTACGCGCTTTTCAATGCTGCTCCCTCTTTTGGAATGTTTGCCGCATGGTCGTTCTCGGAAGACTGCCCCAAGTCCTTATTTTTGCTTTTCTTCTGGTTGATACGACGATTGTATGTGCGTCTTCAGATCCGCCTACTATTTATACTTCCATAGACAGGCTCAGTACACACTTAGTCATAATTGTCCGTGTGATTTCGTGCAATGTGTCTTTGCAAGTTATTCTCCTTGTTAAATACGTAGTTAACCATGGCTGCAGTTGCATATGGATTGTTTGTAAAGATCTATTTGTAAAGAAGTATTTTTTCCAACTGTTGCTTAGAAGGAGACATTCTGTTGCAGATTTTGCATTTATGAGGCATATTTATGGGCTTTTCAATGCTGGGTCTTCTTCTGAAATGCCGCTCTCTGAAGACGGCCCTAGGTCCTCAATACTGCTTTTCTTTTATTTGTCAGGGTCGAATGCGTCGTCTTGTTTTATTTGTCAGGGTGAACGTGTTGTCGTAGCTACTCCTGATCTTTTCTCACCCAGTTACAGCCAGTCTCACTACATACTTAGTTTTCATTATTCATGTGCTTCATTGTAAAATGCCTTTGCATGGTTTGCATGTAGTTGGTTTCGTAATTACATGTTTCCTCTTGACATATGTGAACACAACGTTGGTGAACCTCCATTGAGTGTTTTACTAATATTTTCTTATTACGGAAAATTTGACCACAGATTCTGCATTGTCCAGAAACTTTGTACTTTTCATTTTTCGTTCTGCTGAAAAGTTCGCCGTATAGATTACTCTCTGAGGACAGTCCCGGTCCCGCATTATTGCTTTTCATCTTATTTTTATAATAATTAATCATTATATGATATTTCATAGCATACTTATTCTTATATATCTTGTTACAGCCGGGCTCAGTACACTTGTAGCCGCCGCTATTGGTCGAATTTCTTATGTGTGTTTCCTCGTGTGTTTTTAAGTTTCTCTTATATATGGTTTTGTGGTTGCAATATTTACATTTGTGGAAGCGATGTTTGTGGTCCTTCTCGTAGTGATCATTCAATTCATGTTTGTCGTGAAAGTTTTGTTTGCAAATTTTGCATTGTTTCGGAATTTTGAAGTAATTTGTAGTACCGCTCTCCTTGGTGGAATGTTTGCCGCACAAATTACTCTTCAAGGACGGTCCTGGCTGCGTAATATTGGTTCCTTCTTGTTTGTTAGGATGAAGACGTTGTATGTGGCTCTTCAGCGACATATCAACCTGCAAATTATAAACAAAGTTACAGCCTTACTAAGGACACGTGTAAATGTCCTTGTGCTTTCGTATAATATAATTTTGCAAGGTTACCAAATCGCTGCTTTCATAGTTGTAACTGCTGGATTTATCTATGCCACGTTCGACCTCGTCGAGATGTCGCTTTGTCATATCCATCTTCAGACAGAAGTTCTGTTTGCAGATATTACATTGATAAAATACACTTATACACTTTTCAATTCTGCTCCCTTTTTTAACGTTTGTCGCATGGACCGCCCTCTAAAGACTGTTCCGGTTTCTCTTTATCGATTCACTATTTATTGAGATTCTGTTCTTTTCAATTTGCTTGGTGCAGTAATTTGTCTGCGTAACCGCAAAACTTTATTTCTTTTCTTTGACTAATTCCTGATATCTGAAAGAGACACGTTTCGATATGTATTCTGTGTGTTCGACGAGCGACTGTTTGAAATTATTGGTATCACATGATATCGACAATATCCGAAAGCGAGATATATCAGGCAAACAGAAAAGGTCACGTCAAGACTACTGCGAATAGAGTTTGAACACTTTCTTCATGAAGGAAACACATGAAGTAACCGTCGCGAGTCCCAATCACGTACTTACGCGCGGTGGTCGGTTATGATAAGAATCAAAGTACGTCATAGTTGTTGAGCGAGCGCTTTCTGGTCGCAGAACCATCGAAGAGCAATTTGTTTGAAAAAACGAACTATTTACATTGCTCAGATAGATAGAATATTCAAAAGGAATATAACTCATTTATGTATTTTTATTTTAAATTTATTGTTATATATTTTAATATTGGATTGTTGCAGAAATTCGTGTTCGATTTAAAAATAAACTTCAATTGGTTAAATTTTAAAGAATACATTTTTATTAATCAATTATTTAGTCTCCATTCTTTTCGACAATTGTTATATACTTTCTACTCAAGAGGTATCCGGAATCAGGCAATATAACACAAAATATTCAATTGTTCAAGTAAGTTTATTTTGTCTTCAAAATAGTTCTTATTCTGTACTATATACATATGTTAGCGCTTAATCCAATTTTCAAAATACTTTTCGTAAGCCGATTTTGTCGTATTAATATTGTTACATAATGTGTCACATGAAATTCTACAATTTTTGTATGAAATATTGTTTTATAAAATGCTTTGTTTTTAAGATATTTATTCGTTTCAGAACTTTTGGGACACTTTGTATATTATATTGCTCGTTTATAAAAAATAATTATTACATATATACAGGGTTCTCAAAAAGTCCGAAAACACTAAAATATTTCGAAAACAATAAAACAAAGTTTTTGAGAAAAAGGTTTCCAACAAAAGTTTTAGAGTTTAAAATTATCTATATACTGATCTCATCAGTTTGACCTTGGGTAGAGTCAATAAAGTCAGAGCAAGGTCACCTTGAATTTTTCAAATGGAACATCCTCCTTTTTTTGCATATTTTTGTGACGTATTTCAAGAGCTTTACAAAACACTGTAACAAAGTATTTTTTGTTAAGTACGTCTCGAATTATGAAGCTTCAATTTACAGTACCGTCGACATTAGCATTACCCAAAGTGTACCGCGTGGAGGTTGCTGTGGCGTACACATTTACCGAATTCATTCTTCGTTGTTCTTTCGCTTAATATAAACGCACCTTTATACCAGGCGGCAAACGAGCAGTGTGAAAATAGAATCGCGTGCGTGCCAATCCGTAACACGCAATATTTTCGTAGTTTCCCCCCGGCGCACACGCACTTTGGCGCGTAACCGCAAGATGCACGCACGTTTACGTGCGTGCTCGCATCGGCTAGCAAAGCCGCAAACGTACAGCGCTGTCGCGATGTGGTGAGTTTGCAGCTTGCACGAGCGCAAAGTCGTGATGCATTAACGCCTTGGTAATCAACGCTTTCAACTGCGATTTGATCATCATCACTGCGCCCGAGCTTACCGGGAATCCCTTTCTTCGACGAACACTCCACCGGGTGTCCTTATGGCGAAGCTCGCTGCTAATGAAAATGTGAGCACCGTGCTCTGTCGCGAACGTAAAGGCATAAATCCGTATTCGTGCGCGGTACTTCGTACACGCAGTGTTTCCGGAAATTTTCGTTAAACGTTTTCTAGCCTCATGCCGTTACCAAACGTACCAGCCTAACACAGGCGACGCCAGAACTATTCATGCCACAGGTGGGCCACAGGTGAGCCAGCATTCATATGGGTGGGCCATATTTATTATACAGTGTGTACAAAACATACCGGGACAGTGAAATATCACAAAAGCTAAGCATTTTAGAAAAAAATTTTTCAAATAAAAATTATAGAGTTTTAAAAGATCTATTTACTAACATTATGAGTTTGACCTTGGGTGGCGTCGTCAAAGTCAGGACAAAGTCATTTTGAATTTTTTAAACGGGACTCCCTATTTTTATTACATATTCCTATAGCCCTTCTTCAGACCTTTTCAAAGCACTATAACTTTTTTACTTTGAGTAAGTCGTTTCGAAGTTATCGAGCTTTTTATGATAGGAAGTCTAGCCAGCGGCTGGAGCAATTTCGTGACTTATATTTCAGATACATGTAATATTAAAGTAATACTAAAGTACTAAATTTATAACAGCATTAAAATTCACGTTTGAATTATTTCAAATCAATTGCAATGAATTTGACTTGAAGTAGAATATATTACTTGTACACGATACGCGTTGTTTCATACGAAACAGATAAATTATATTTTTTACTGCTTTTTCTTTCTTTAATTGAATTATCGATTTTGTTATTAATTTGTTGAGTTTGTTATTAATTAATATAAATTTCTGTTTATTGGATAAATCGTTTTGTTTCCTAGCTTATTCGTTAGACTTTACTTTTTCTTTTAGAGATTAACATTATTTTCAAACGCTTTTGTAAAGATCTTGCTTTGGTTGGCTGGATATTTTATCATAAAAAGCTCGATAACTTCGAAACTGTTTACTCAAAGTAGAAAAAATTATAGTGCTTTGAAAAGGTCTGAAGAAGGGCTACAAGAATATGCGATAAAAAATTGGAAGTGCCATTTAAAAAATTCAAGGTGATCTTGTCCTGACCTTGGCGATGCTACCCAAGATCAAACTCATAATATCAGTAAGTAGATCTTTTGAAACATTACATTATTTTAATGTTTTTAACCGTTGTGTTTTGTCTCTGGGAGTAATTAACTATGAAGTTATATAGAATTTAAAATTAATTGTACAATTTTAATTATAAAAATAACTTCATATAAAAAGAACTGGAAACTTTGACAGAATAGAACAGCATAATAATTATATTATATAATTATGTTAAAATATAATTATATAATATAATATTATGTTAAAATATAATTATATAATTATATAATTATGTTAAAATTTCCCAAAATTTCAAAATGGGCCAAAAGGTAGGCCAGCGTATTTTTAGGTGGGACTCACCCAAGCTCATTCTTGGCGCCACCGTTGCAGCCGAAATATAGCAAAGAGCAACTCGTGAAGAACATGTCTCACAAACGAGACTTCGTTTTTCTTTTCAAGTTCCGCAGGAGCTTACTTGTACCGGCGGAAATTTTGCCAGGCGATAAAACAGACGCTTAGCGAAAATTACGTGCAATTGTACAAGCGGATGTATGCACGGCATTCGCGTAACTCCCACGGCTTACGAGCGGTGATTCGGTGGTTCATGCAGCGACAAAATTTACAGATTAGCGCAGGGATTTAACGTGCATCGCACGCGCGGCTGTTGCCTCCCTTACCAACCGAGTTCTCTTCTATTCTCGTACATTTTTCTCATTCGATGGATCATCGAGTTCCTTCTTTTTTTCTTTCCGTTTTCGATCCTATCTCCCTTCTTGTTCTCGCGTTATTGCGGATAACGCTGACCAAGTTAAAATCAATAGATGGAAACGTTGATCGTTTCTAAAGAGAGATGCGTCTTCTCGTTTGGCGGTAACGAACAATTAGTATTAACCGCGCTGGTCAATGCCGCTTTATGAGGCTGCACATCGCGTGTCAAAATGTGTTAATTTGCATCGTCCGAAAATCAGATTTACGCAGTTATCAGATAACATTGACGCTAACTATAACTAACGGCGCCATTTAGTCGCACATATACACCTCGCGTTCAGTCTCGTAGCAATCATCATTTGCGCATGATTACTTGCGTCCTGGAACGAATGCGTTGTTCATAGTCTAGCCTGCTCGAACGAACGGGCGTTATCTCGCTAACCGCAGAAACGAAATCGTTGTTAGAGTGTCTCCGGCATTTTTACAACGAAGCGTCCACTAAAGTCTAAGTAAGTGTCTGTGGTGTTTTGTTGAACGACAATCAAAGGAGACGAATGGTTATCGCGATAGAATTTTAATCGCGTTCATATCGCGCCATCGAGCGACATGTGAACAAAAAACCAATGTTAAATCCACCATTGCTCAAATTCGCGGAATTAAAGTGTTTAGGATGGATTTTCAGGGTATGAAAATATCCTGAAGATATCTCAGGACATCCTAGATATATTGAGAATTATCCTGAGGATGTTTTGCGCTGTCTGGATAATTGGCCTATAGTTCCGCGAAGTTCGGCAATATTGAACACCGAATATACCATAGAAATGTCCTGAAAGGATATCTCAGAATATTTAGGATAATCCTGGGATATTTTCAGGATATTTAATTGTATTATTGTAAATATTTTAAATGAGAATTTTATGTGTATATTTAACCTCATTAATTATAGTGCAACATTAGAAATAATTTCAGAATATTTAATATTGTATTTAATAAAACAAATTTCCCATAAATATCCACTGCATATTCATTAGTCTCAAATAACATAAGAACCCAGACAGCTGAAAAATGTCTCCAGGATAAACAATAGAAATATAGCCTACTGAATTTGCTGGTTCCGAGTTGTGTCGAGATATGTGTGTACTTTCTATCTTCTCCGTTTAAATTATAAATATAAAGAAAAGAAAATATTCGACTCGATCTTAAAATGGATTCAGTAAATTGAATACATTAATAGCTCGATCTTTTTTTAGATTCAAAAGATTTTAGAATTCTAAATGATTAAAATTTAAAGAGATTCAAAAATTTTTTATTTCTGGAAATGAAATTGAACTATTAATGTATTCAATTTGCCAATTTCGATTTAGAATCAAGTGCCTTTTTTCGTTATATTTAGAATTTAAATAGAAAGGACTCGATATAATTTGTAGTCAGCAAATTCAATGCATTATGTTTTTTTCTTTTTCCTTTAGACGCTTATCTGGAAATATCCATAACATATCTTGTAAAAGTCCTCAGGACATCCGACAGGATGTCTTCTAGATGTCTTAAAAGCTACTACTGCTAATATTCAGTTATCATTTTTTTTTCTTCAGGACATTCAAAGTATATATTGAGATAAAATTTGGATATCCAATGCAATGTTCGTTTTGA